CACGAGCACCACTGTTTCCGACACTCAACGTCTCTAATCATCGATCACTATTGTCTCGGGGTATGCGTCATTCAACAACATTTATCCCGTTCGGCACAGGAACGAGCGGCATCGGCCAAATTCCAGTAAATCAGTGCTCTCGGAACCAATAACGAAGCTTGTCATCAGACAAAACATATATTTGATTGGAACAAACCTTCCCCGAGATTAATTTCAAAAGAAAGGACCATATGGCAATACTGCACGGTTTATGTCCAGGACGATCTGATTGGTCTTTCGTCACACATGGAGTTTGAGTAAGAAAGTCAATAACAGCTTTGTACAATGCATTCTCTATCACTTCGCTGCATCAGTGCATGCACTAATCGCAGCACACAACACCGGGGGCCAGACTATTCTGTAAACCGCAAGAACGGTTCATCACCCAGGCACCACCTCGACATCAAATGGGTCTGATGATTTTGACCTAAGATCCTGTGTTCTCTGACTATATTTTAACGGTCACATAAACTGCAATGTGCACGTGTACTGGTGCAGTGAAATGTTCCAGGATGCGCTATGCATTCAAATCCCAACTGCTGGGCGGTAACTAATTGAATTTAACATTGGTTTTGACCCCTCCAGAAACTACATACGTGGAAAAATAATATTTAATGAGGTTGNTCGACCCGGTTGGATCTCATCAGCATTGCGAATCCATTGACCCAACTGGGGATCGAACCCGGGACCTCATGGGTAGAACGCAAGCACGCTACCCACTCGGGCACCGGATCAGATCGTTTTTCATTTTCCATTTACACGATATAGTACAACCCATCTTTGCGAGCTTGTAGCAGGCCACAGACCTCGCTCATCTCAGCACTAGTCTCCGGGGTTATGACTTGGTTGGAAACTTTCACAACCTGATTACTCCTTGATTCATTAATATTATCCGACCAGAAAGCCACACATTCATCCACTAACAAGTTTGTATTTACTTCTTAAGTAATCAGGACGATAGTGATTTGTCTTTGCTCCATTTTATGGTACGAGAAAGACGAGAAAACAAATTACACGTGATAATGTGCAGTCACGAAGTACACATCTAGCGATGTTAGTAAATGTATATGAAGGCATTTTGATTGAGGATTATTGACTGAATGGTAGTAGATCGACTGATTGTGCGGTTTGAAGAAAAAAACATGGCATGAATGTGTTCGAAACATTGGGACTGAGATTTTGTGTTGTCCACACTCCGTTGTTGGTTTTCAGAGAAACCTTTCGCTTCATTGTACAAGATCACACAACAATCACACAAGCAGCACCTCCCAATGCCTTTAGACCGGCACGACCAAGTTCCATATGCAACTGTGTTGGAACTGTGTCAACCACATAGGTTGGGACAGGCATTTTGGTACGGAGCAGATATCCATCTTGTTGATAAAAGGCCCCATTGAAAACTGGGACCTGCGGTAACACAGAATCAAAAGGTGTCCGGTGAAATGGCTCGTTCCTTTTAATTTGGCACTGAACCATTGGGGCCGTTGTAGTATATCGATTTCAAGTCAAGGTTTATGGGGCTGTTCTGTCTGCTGTCTGCGGTTGATCCAAGGTCATAGACAATGCTGATTATGAGCAGTTGTCATAAACATGAATAGAAGGGTGGGAAAAAGCATCTTCGTTCTTGCATTAGCTGTACCGGCTGTGTTCGCTGATGAAACAGTATTCCTGGAGTACTTCAAGACATTCGGTTATTGAACCTTCTGAGACGTAGAAGAATCGATTTACGTGAATTACGGTGAAATTTGCTAGGCTAATTAAGGCCTTTTGAGATAACAGTACGGTCACCAGCGTCGGGTTCGAGGATGAATGTGTTCCTTGTTGTCAACGTGTTTCAGTAAATGAGAAGCTGAGCCGAGAAAAGACGTTCTTCAAGAGAGTTCAAGGTATCCGTTTCCTGCTACCGTATGGAATTATTTAACTCACACTATAGTTTACACCGAGAGGAGATGCTAAATAATTCACCGAGAACTGATACCGATACAAACAAGGCCTCGGCGACGTGCCTAATACAATGTAGTAGGCGTTGATGGTGTTCCCGTGCGGATGAGGGGCTGCTTCATTACTCCCTTATAATTGCTAAGACTAAACGTTCAATATAAAATGACAAACGTAAATGATCTACCCTAGATAGCTGTCACAGATCGACTACCCTGGTGTCAGGATGAAGACCAAGAAGCGAAGCGACTCCAGCTCCTATAGCGAGCGAGATGTCAAACGGGGGGCTGCAATTTTCGTAAACAAATGCATATCGTTTGCTGGAACGTTGGGATTAAGCGAATCACGATTCTCATACTGTATTTCAGAAGTTCGTTTATCGAACACATCAAGGTTCTCCGAAAGTGTGTCGGACATCACTTCCATCGCAATGAACCAACCAGCAACTCTAGACTCGAGTGCTTAGCGATTGCCAGCAGCGATAAAATGAAACAAAATGGTAGCTGGTATCGGTCAATTCACCGAACATTGTTTGAATCCTTGCATGGGAGGAATATGTGGGCGATCATACATTAAGGTCAACACAATGCACCCTGTGAGTGCTGCTTAGACCAATACAGGACTAACCTAGCTCGTCTTAGAACTAACTGTGCGGTGAATAAATAATAGGAAACAATCACTTTCCAACCTCGTTGTATAACGGTTCATTTGTTGAATAATAAAGAGTTGCTTCGTTCGTCTTGTTTTCAATTCATTAACTGATAACTAAACGTGTCACCAACCGAATGACACTTGGGAAAAAGGGAAATATTCATTGCAAACGATCAATCCACTGTAGGTTCAAATGCATATTCATTTAGTTTGTTTAATTCACACAGAAAGTCGATAGTTGTCCGGTAAAATGATATGAATCCTATTTAAAAGGACCCATCGTTGAGAGCAATTAATGAACAGGACGAAAACACAAAAGGTGGATAAGAATAAATACTAAATCTCATAGATCACATTCTAGGTCGCGCGATCTGTATTACCTTTATTGTTTGTAGCAGAATCTCCGGGGGGGGGGGGGGGTTAATCGATGAACAGTGTTCCAATTTAGGATTAGGTGCCAACCTTCTAAGTTTTTATCAAAAGACGTCGACTATTCTTTTTTATCTCCTCTCCAGTAAAGACGTGATTTGAAATTTCATTGGTGAGGTTGTCTTTTTACAAGTTTATTCAAAGCAAATGAATGAAAGCAGGGAAGCTTACTGAATGATCCTGATAGACTGATCGAATCAGCCAACAGACCAGCACGAAATCGGGCCGACGAGTGAGAAGACATTGTGGCCATGCTTTCCACAGATTTTGACAGCTTGCCACTTGCAGCCAGCACATGTGACGTACAAATATGCCGAAGCAGTGCAAGTGCTTGTGTTGCATTGTTTAATGGATGTATTTCGTCTTCAGGAATGGAGAATCTCGTCTGAAAAGTAGATTATCAATTTTGAGACAGACATGATCACACTGGGTATGATTCAATACCGCATTACCTAAAATGAACATGATTTACCAAAGCTAGGCAATAACTGAGTACGCGAACTGAGGTAATTCCTCCTAGGACAGAACAACTTGACTACTTGTGACTACTTGATTTTCTCTACCTTTATAATTTTCCGTTTATTTATTTTTCATTTTCAAACACGTCCGAATCCAGACTGTATGCCAAACAAATCATGGTACAATAATCTTTATGAAAAAGAAGAACGTTCCATGATTTGCACGTGGGCGGATTACTGCCAGGTTGTCCAAGCCAAGGCAGGTGAATTTTCTTGAGGAATTCACAGCTGCAGCCTTCGGTTAGCCAAAGCCTGACCCGCAAGGTAATAGGGCAGTTTTGAGAAAACCGCAATCCATTGGGGGTCGGTGTCCAGTTCGTCGGATCATACGCCCTTTGGACAGAGTCAAACGTCCAAGGTGCCCAATACAGCTCAATGCCCAATCGAGCCGGTGACCACTACTACAACCGAAAAGGTGTGTGGTTCGTACGCCTCCTCATGGTTGGTTTGGAATCAGGGTTTTTGGTCAACTCCCCTAGGTGAACTGCCAGTTGGTCCACCAACCCCGTTATAGCCCCGGATGTCGGTTTTTTGTCCTCTCACTTTAGTGGGAAAACACCTCCGCCACGAGAAGGCAGTGAGTAGGGCTTCCTCAGCAGAGGCTATTTGAGACACTTGGATAGCCTTCCGTGGACAGAACATATTTATCTCAATGTGATAATATGCGCAGTTGTACCAGATTGTTCAAACCAAAGCAAATGATTTTTTGAGGGATTCACAACCGGTGATTTTATTTAGCCAAAGTTCGGCACGAGGAGCACGGAAGTCAGGAAGTTGGAGCATACCGGGCGCAGTCGGAATACACGCACCCAAAATAGGATTCGCTTGTACGGGTTAAATAACGAACACAGTCGTTAAATGAAACCGAAGGCATCTGCGTTCAGTAAACTAGCGACTGCTCAGAGATAACTTGTTGGGAAGTGCGAAATCAACGGATCCTAGCTTCCCCCACCCTTAGACGACCTAATTATAATTAACTCAACGGACCGTTATTGTGCACGGACGCCAAAGTTAGACACATCATTATGGGTCATCACGAACGTTCACTGAAACGAATGCTTGATACTAAGAGATTACAAGGGCTAGTGCTGTGATACGCACTTCACGAAATAGGCTTCCTCGGTGTACGATGTTTTCCGGGGCAGGTAGTGGATGATAAAAGGCCAAAAGTGGTCGAGCCAAAACTTAGCATCAGAGCATAAAAACCCTGATCAGGAAACTGGAACAAACAAGCTGCATTAGGCTCCCCCATTGGGGACCTTCGGATTATTTTAATGGATATTTAGAGACACTGAGTAACATTGTACTGATAAGACCGGCGGGTGAGATAGACCTCTATCGAGGTAACAGAACTAGTTTTTTCTCCGTATAGCCACACTTCATTCTTGCAACATTTTACAACTTCCTGCGACGGTTGAATGACATGAGCACCACACAATATCCCATCAAATAACGAAAAACAAGTCAGGTATAACTTTATAGCCCCAGAGGATGAATTTGTAGTAACCATTCACATCCCGTTCTCAATGTACCCTTCCTCCCGTGCATCTCATTGTTTTATCACACCAAGGCACCTCTTTAGTCAGCACGTGTTTGCTTTCACTTTCTGCACGCTTGCTCACGCCTCTGTATCTCTCCCTTGCTCTGCAGGTATTTACAATACACGTCGTCCTCCGTTTCGTGAATTGCCTCGTTCTCTTCTCGTACGAACGTACGTTTGCGACCTATACGTATTAGCTCGGGGTACCGATAACCTAGTTCCCACAAATTTTCAACCGAATCTCTACCTTATCTAGGTCCATCCGACATACCTCCGGAGAGTCGAGTATGTCATTTGAATCCGTAATTTGAATGGTGAAAAAGATTAGCGTGCAGAAATACAAGCTATAACTGATTCCCGCTACTTTTCTTCGTGATGATCGACAACGGATGGATATTTCGATCGGTTCATGCATCGACCCTCTACCCAACTTAGATAATGTAACAATATCGTACTCGGCGAAGAATCCAGCCTCTCCCTTTGCACAGTACAGAAAGATATCAAGAATCGGATGGTGATGATGAGCCTAAGGCAGTTCTCAAGGATAACGCAGTTGCTACTCACTTATTATGAAGAATATTATTCCAGACATGCAATGAAGAAACGCCCCTAATCATACGCCGAGTTCCTTCTTTCATTACCATGACCTATGTTATGAGACAAAATCTGGTATAAATACTTAACAAATACAGACCTTCACCATAAAAGAGCGGTGGTGACCAAGCGACAAAGGTTACCGAATTGTCGCTCTAGATGATGTTCGAATCCTCCCACCACCGCCTGACTTCTCCCATTCTTTGTGGGCTGTGGTGCAGCCCTTTGATTAACTGCTTTTATTTTCTGAAAACCGTATCATTCTATACTCAATCAAAAGAACTAAAATAAAGATTAAGTGTGACGCATCATGGCAATACAAACGCCTTTTGGAACAAATTTTAAGAACAACTCCTGGTATTGCACAAATGCATAAGTATTACTAGCAAGAAAAAGCACGCTGAATAGAGAAGTTTGATGTTTTACAACCCGACGTATACTGAACACCAGAGTTGACCAAAATTCATACAATACGATTTCAGGTGTAACTTATCGAATTACCTCGATGCTGTCGCGTAGATCTTTCAAGTTACAGCTGGATGAGAGAACGGCAAATGAGGTGTTACCCAGACCCTGGGCATATAACGCAGTCATGAGCCGTTCAGCTGATTCATCTAAATCAGAACAATCGCTGGGCACAACGAGAATCAACCAGTCGGCAAGCTGAATCAAGTCCAAAGTACCGAAAATATCATCAGACGAGGTTGTGACCAGGGAAATGTACTTGCCAAGTAATGGTGAATGAAAGCACGTGGTTTGTTGCAAAGAAGCGCTTGGTTCACGAACATTAACTGCATCCGGATCACAGCTGCGTAACAACAGCTGGGCCAAATGAATCGGTACGGCACTAGTCAGTGGTGCGATCACGCAAAAAATCGGACTTGACTGCGAACCACGCTGGCTGAGAAATTTCTTCAACTGTGGAAGGAATACTGATTAGACGGTAACTTAGATGGGACTCACTTCTGACGTTTTATGCACTCTGCGCTGTTTTGCAATTAAGCGACGTTCACGTTTCGACTAAGAATGTAGAAAATAGAGATAAGGAAATAAAAACGATGACTGTCAATGGGATTACACTAATCACAACAACTCACAATAATACTACCGATATACCTGACCGGCTATTCTAATACNGCAGCAAAATCCAGCAAAGCGAACTTCTTCGACCACTATCTACGCTGAATACCGATAATCATTTGGAGTGACCGGCTTTACGACAAAAAAGTAAAACTACTATGATGAAGAAACACTAATCCTATTGGAACTACTATGCTCTTATCTACAAGGGATTGGGTACATCCAATGACCGTCAATTACCAACCAGTCGAAATACCTACTCTTTTTTGTCGCTATTGAGACTACCGGACTGGAGGAAACCGTAAGAACCAGAAGCAACATGGAGTCGAAAGTGAAACACTTAGGCATTCACTCGGTAAACGGATTCCGATTAGGGAATCGTGATTGGATCACCATCTGCAGCAACCTCGCTGCAAACCGCCGTATGAGATATCCCGGAGGCCAAATCTTCCATTAGCATGAGATAATTGCGGAGAAGTTAAAGTGGAGTATTAATGTGACATGGATGAGGGCGGATCAAGTTCTGAGGGAAAATAAAGTGAACTACTATGGTCAGCACATAGGGTACATAGTCTAGCACAGAAAAACAAAACTTCAAGCACTTGGGTAATGGTGGTCTAGCGGTTTAATTCGCTTTCACCGGACTGCTTTGGCAAGTGGAATCCAACGTTTGAATCCCGCCACCACCAACCTTGGTGGTTTCCATGTACGAACATCGGATCCTTGTGACTGTGAGGTTGGATCTATACACAGTTTAGGATACAGTGTATATTGAAAAAGAAAACCTGGCTTGATGGGAAATGACAACAAGAAAGTCATCCCTATCGGTTTGTTGGAGGGCCCGTTGGTGTTTCTGAACAATTAGTCTTTGCAAGTCCTATCTGCAAGACATCTACTTCACCTAACCTGTCCATGCCGTTCTTTACTCCTTGTCTCCATGTATTCTGCTGACCTCTCATGATGTTCTGCAACCTGAAGCGGTGACTAAACAAAATGCAACACGGAAGATTACTACTGGGAATCCACGACACATGTCTTCTCCAACAAAGCCTACTCTTCCGAATTGGGTCTTAAAACGAATTGTTTACCAACCGACCGGTCACCGGCTTATCTGAAACAATACTGCTGCCTTGTAGCTCGCGCTTGGTTGCGTAAAGGCTAGAGTGCATCCTCGAACAAGTCCTACTCTGGACTGGGCGACCGAGAAGTACAACAGCCCACAATGCAAAAAATAAACTTCAACCTATACTTCTGGCCATCCATGAATAAGACGTATCGTGCAGCAATCAAACGAAGTGTTGCTGCGATGCCTCGGTGTGATAAACCGTTAGATGCTGGATGGTAAGCAGTTGTGCGAATGCGTTCCATACCTGGCAATCGTGTTAGCGAAGAGAATAATTCCGATTCGAATTGTGCTCCTGTCAGTCGTGACAGTAGAGGCACAACCGTAGTGTTATCCACCGTTCTACGAAATGTCGAGCCACTGCTTCGGCCGTGACAGTAGAGATGGGAATAGCCTCAGGCCATCTAGTGAACCTGTCGATACAAGTGAATAAAGGAGTATACCCGTGTGACGATGGTAATGGGCCTACAGTATCGATGTGAACGTGATCAAAGCGAGCATCAGGCGTAACAAACGTACCGATAGGTGCAGCTACGTGCCTGTGCACTTTGGATCGTTGACATTGTAAACAGTGTTTAGCCCATATTCGAACGTCCGTATTCACGGATGGCCAGACGTATCGTGCAACAATCAAACGAAGTGTTGCTGCGATGCCTGGGTGCGATAAACCATGTAAGGTGTCGAAAACTAAACAACGATAGGATGAGGTTACTACAGATCGAGGTAGACCTGTAGACATGTCACATAAGATGGTACCATTAGAAGTCGTTACCGGTACCGCCCACGAGTGTTTTCGTCTACCTAGGGCAACGGGACACCAGGAGGTCGCAAGCAATGAGATTTGTAAGAAGACTTACCGGCAGGCCGTCAACGCCAGTTAGCTTCATTGGTGAGCCCGCAACGTCTACTTTGTAAGTCAAATCCAATTTGGTTTGCACTTGGTTCTCACGGTTCATTTTCATTTGTACGATATAATTATTTATCGCAATTGTACGATAGCCAAGGAGCGTAAACCAGTAGGCGATAGGGAACTGGACCTATTGGTTATTAGTTTCAAGCCAGTAGTTTTCATCCCTCACGACCCTGAGGTGTGGTTTGGTGCGTTACAAACGCAGTTTATCGCCCGTAACGTGCAGAGCCAGCGCTTCAAGTACGTTTACGTGGTTGAGGCGACCCCTGGCGACCAAATGTTCGCCATTAGGGATATTATTCTTAAACCGCCGGAGGAGAACGCGTACGACGTTCTGAAGGCTGCGATCCTTCAGTTCTACACCCCTCTAACGAGGAACGAGTACGCCAGTTGCTGGCTCGTCACCCGATTGGTGACACGACGTGAAGCAGGTGTCTGGCGCGTATACGCACGTTAGTCGGCCCAGCAAACGCCCACTCTAACATCGTCAGGGAGCTGTGGCTCGAATCGTCACCACATCATGCCCAGCCGACGGTAACGGGGTTGCTGAAGGACACCTAGATCGACAAAGCTGCGTCGATTGCCAACAAAATGGTTGAATGTGTTGGTAATGCGGATAACTTCCTCGTTGCCACGACATCGCAACCGTACACGGGGAATAGGGATAAGTAAGCGGTACGGCCTTCACAGCCACGACCACATCATCATCGTACAGCGAAATACAATGAAGCGAACTTCACTAACCGCTGCCAAACTCACAATGCATACAAGGTTAGTGGTAAAATTTAAGGTGGACAGGGGTTGGATCTATTTCAAGGGAAGGAGAAGGTGAAGCACTATGGTCAACACAGGGTATGCAATCGAACTATGCATACATACCGTTTCAAGCATTCTGACCTGATAAGAAACTACAACAAGAACGCCACTGCTGCCGGTTCGCTGCCATATCCTACAGTGTTTCCAACCAACCAGTTGTGGAGTCTTTCGGACCCCAACCTGGAAGGCGAGAGACACCTGTTCCACCTAATGGCTCTGTGCATTTCTTCATGCCTCGTCTCCACGTCATCTGTTGACATCCACGTGGTTTCCTCCAGCCCGGATTAGTNGCCATATCCTACAGTGTTTCCAACCAACCGGTTGTGGAGTCTTTCGGACCCCAACCTGGAAGGCGAGAGACACCTACT